GCCCTGCACAACCTTCCTGGGTGCTCAGCGGGAGAGGAGCAGGTCAGACAGCCCCAGGTCGGTCCCCGGAGCTCCCAGGCACTAGCTGAGCAAAGACCCTGCCTTCCTGAGACATGGGTCTCTGCATCTGTAAAATGAGCCCAACCCTGTCCCCACAGGGTCGTTGGGAATACTGGGGTGCTGACGCAGAAGCATGGGGTCTGGACTGTGAATCCTGGCCCCGCCTTTCACAAGCTGCCAGGTCTCAGGTAAGTCCCTTTCACCTCCTGGTCTCAGTTTCCCCGTCCATGAAAGGGCAGCGATGAGAACCTTCCCCTCACAGGCTTGTTGGGGCAGATGAGAGGGTGGGAGCACTGGTACCTGGTGACCTGGGACGTATGGAAAGGAGCTGGTCTGGAAAAGCCTGGAACACCATCCCAAACATCTACAGTGCTATCTTGTCTCTCCCCACCCCCAGGTGACCACACTCACATCGGGGTGACCTGCTCTGAGTCCAACAACCTCACCCCAAAGTGAAGAGGCAGCCCGGATGTCCGAGTTGAGCAGGTGTGAGGCCCATCCAGCCCGGCAGTCAGTCCTTAATCTTTAAGGCTGATCCACAGGGGCCCAGGGCCGTCATCGCAGCCAAGCACTGAGCCTGGGCACAAAGGGCTATGGATGAAAGGGACCCCCTGTCTGCTCCTGGTCACAGGGCAGCCCCCAGGCCCCAGCCGGGGACAGAGAGGTGCTCTGAGAATTGGCAAGGTTTGGAAATCCGTGATGCTTACGGGCATTCGCAGGCTGAAGGGAAGACAAGCTTATTAGGGGAGAGCTAGCCCGGCAGTGTGGGGCCCCGGGACATTCCTAAGACGGCAACAAGCACCGGCTGGGCCCTGCTCTGTGCCGAGGGGCCAACACGGACCCAGCACACGCCAGACCCTGAAAGAATTCACAGCTGGAATGGGAACCAGCGCTGTCGCGCCGCAGGCTCTCAGAAGTATACAGAGGGGGCTGCTCATTCCGCCTGGGAGACTGCAGCGGGGACATCTGAGCCAGACTTCAAAGGTGGGGACATTTGCTGTTGGGCAGAGGAAGACCATTCCAGTCAGGTCTGTGCCCTCCCCCAGGGCCAGAAATTGCGCCTTCTCTTCCTGTATGTGAGGACTGATGCAGAGCCCCGGGAGTGTGGGTGGGAGGGAGTTGGCAGAGCCTCCCCTGAGGTGTGGGGGCCAGGTGGACTTCTGGGTGGGAAGGAAGGAAGGGGCTTGACTCTGGGGGCTTTGATGAGGGCTGCCCTCTGAGGCTTCCACTCTCCACCCATGGGGTGTGCGGGCAGACTCTTCCTAGGGTCCTCAGGATCTTTTACAGGGGGGCCTGCTGGAAAGAGCCATGTTAACCCCCACATCTAACAGTGCTTGGGAGAGCTTGGCTTTGCCAGGTCCTTTCTGCCTGTTGCCAATGGTCCTGGACCCCAACTTGTCCAAGGCCACTCCCTGGGTCATCCCCTTGGAGAGGGGCTGCCTGGACACCCACACAGAGACAAGGAAAGGGTCTTTCAGAAGGGAGTGTGGGCTCTCCTTCCTGACGCCAGGCCTGCCACCACTGCTTCTGCAGAGGACATTCCCGCTCGCCCTGCTTCTCATCCAGGCCTCATGTCCCCCCTCCAGCCCCCTTCCCTAATGCAGGGTGCCCAGTGTAGCCAGTGCCCCACCATGGCGGGCCCACTCAGGGTTATGTGACCACGTGGTCAGTGAGGCTGAAGAAGGGGTCCTTGCTTTGGAATCAAAGTCAAGCAAAAGCAAACAAGCTGAATTTGAGGCCCCTGCCAGCTCTGGGGGCCGGATTTGGTAACTTCTTAATTAATTACTTCTCAATTAATAACAAACCGAGCACAGCAGCAATAGGCAAGCTACTGACATAAGTGAGGCTAATCTGTTAACTACACCCACGTAGCACATGATCGGAATGGGAGGTTCGTGACACCGCCCCTGGTTTCCGCTGCGCTCCCCCAGGACGGGGGGCCGGAAGTCACTGCGATGTCCTTGGGCTTTAACCAAGAGGCTCTCACGGTCCAGCACCCTCAGGATGCAGTTCTCCACAGCTCTCAGCCTTGGGATCGTCTGCACCCCATACCCGAAACACAGCCAATCCGCCCTGGTTGGTGTTTCCCATGAGCCCAGAATAGAAGGTGCCATCTGTCACACTTTAGATGTCATATGTCCACTGATGACTTGCAAACAGGGTGGGTCACCAGGAGGCATTGGGAGGAAGGCAGCAGCGGGTCGGCTCAGCAGGGCACAGGCGATGCATGAGAAGTGCAGACGGGGTTCTGGGATTCTCGGCAGGCCGGCGGCTGCCCCTCCACAGAGGCAGGGAGCCCGGGTTCTCTGCAGCCCTGAGGGGCATCCTCTTCTTCTGCAGGGACAGAGTGGCCTTCAGGACAGAGCGTGTCTGGGAGGGGAGAGCTTACTGGCACAGTCTGTGTCGGGTAGGGGCTTGCCTCTTGCCGGCTGGGCAGAGAGGGAGGTCTCCTGGGGAGAGCTGCTGTGGGGGTGCCGGCCTCCGGAAGTGCCACTCCGGCCGCACACGAGGCGCTTTTCATCCAGTAGGGACAGGTGGTACTCACACAGGTCGATCAGTGAGGCCACCTGCTCGTGCAGTGGCAGCATCTTGAATTTCCTCTGAGCCAGGAAGAAGAAAGCCTCCACGAATGCCTGAAGACACATCCCTGTGGGCAGAGATAGCTTCAGGGGTGGGGTCTCCCTAGCTACCCCTGGAAGACCCGGACTCCGGCCCCAGGCAATAGCGAGAACCGCCACTGCTGTGCTGGAAACTCCTGATCAGGCCAGCTCCGGAGTGCGCACCAGGCCCAGGCAGCGGCAGGCCTTTTACAAACAAGTACAGATCCCACCCCTTACGCAGCCCGGAGCGGCCCTGATGAACCCTGTTTTACAGCTCAGGAAAGCCCGTCTCAGAGAAGTAGGAAGACCCAGGCGAAAGTCTGTGGGTAGAAAGTGGTGGGGTTGGGATGTAAACCTAGCCCAAAGCCTTATCCTCAGTGCCACAATGAAAGGTTTCCATTTAAATCTGGCTGCCTAACTTTTATAATAGGGTAACATTGTTAAGGTAAACCCAAGCCGACGGCCGTGTTCTAGATCTGGATAGCGGTGCTGGTAACACCGGTATGTGCAACTGTCAAAACTCATCAAATTGTACCCTAAGGCATGTGCATTTTTTTAAAAAAAATATATCTTATTTTTTAACACATTCAACCACTGTATATCATTACAGCATGCAAAATGAATTTTCTCATCACAAATGCCCGGTATATTAGTCCAGTTAAAGATATTATCATACGTGTTAATAGCAACAGATAATTTTCCATTTTTGTGACCCCCTAACTGTTTGATTTCTTTCTTTTTCCTCTTGATTCTCTTCCCCTCACCCTCCCTTATTTTCCACCCTCCCCCTACACTGTCTCCAGTCTGTGCATTTTACCGTATGTACATTCTACCTCACAAAGTAGAAGAAACCCAACCCCTTCTTACCAACCACCCCGTGTTCTGAAATGTATGGATGGAGAGCCCCTCTATGTTTCTGGAAAGCTTTTCCCTGTTGGTCTCATTAAGCTGCTACTCATCTTTGGGATCTGAGCTCAGAATGGCTTGTAGAGTAAAACCATCCCTGATCCCCAGCCCAGGGAGGGGTTTCTTGCGCGTCTCTTTGCAAGGCCTCAGGCGGTTCACCCAGTGTTAGATTCTGTGATTCTTTGATGGTTTCCATCTTCCTTCTGAACCTTGAGCTCCTATTTATCTCTGTACCTGCATCTGGGTACCCAGAAGGTGCTCAACTAGACATGCTGAAGACATGAGTGAAGGAAGGCAGGAACAAAGGAACTGGCACCGGCACTTTATAGACATGGCGCTGATTCTCGTGCCTTTGTGCGGTATATATATTTAGATGTTTTACCATATGGCATGTGTGCTAACCAGAGAGACAGATGGAGAGAGCGTGGAAGTGAGAAATCACCCGCCAGCAGGGATGGCCATGCCGCTATCCTTTCTCCTCCATTCTCCTCCTGAGATTTTGGGCACCAGCGTGTTTCTCAGACTGCTGGGTTTGGGATTCAAATGGCAGAGATGGCCATGTTGGACCCAGTGCCTTCACCACCATGCCACCTGCTGGCTCCATGGGAGCCAGTACTATCAATAATATTATTACCTTAGAGAGGAGGAAACTGACATTCGGAGAGATGAAGTAACTTCCCCAAGGTCTGTAAATTCAAACTCCAACTGTCAAGTTTTTTTATTAACTAATCTGTACTGTCCCGGCCCTATCTGCTGTCTGTGCCGTCTAAAACTGTCAAGTTTTTTTATTAACTAATCTGTACTGCGTGGAACAAGCTGCATCTTCGCAGTGTCCGAGTGTAGGTGAGCCCTGGGATCTAAGCCTACAGGACCCTCTGGGACCCTAGGGGGAGGGGACCCTAAGTCTGGACCAGATACCACTCCCACATGTTAGATGAGGCCAGCTCCCAGTCTGCTAATCCACACCTTCCCAGTAATTAACTGTTTACTCCCCTGCTCCTGCTGCTGAGGGCGAAAGCCCAGCCTCGAGTTGGTGAATCCTGGATTACATGTGGACCCTGGAATCGGGAACTCCCTCTGCCTTGAGAACTTGAGCTGAGCAAAGAACTTGCGTTGTTTCCTTGCAAGTCCGCCAGAGCCCTTTGGCCTCACTTCTCTTAACTCCAGACGCCCTGCAAGTGCCCTGCTCTGTATGGGTCTGACAGAAGCAGTGATAAAGAACACAGCAGCCCTGGTGCAAAACCCTCTTACTGTAAACAGAGGCCTGGTGTGGGCAGAGACACAGGAAAATGGGGCTTCTCAGCGCCGACGTGAGACAAATGTTTCCTAATTACTGCCCCTGGGCCAGGGTTCTCTCCCTTGGGGTGTGCACGCGTGCATGTGTGTGTGCATGTGTGTGTGTCAGAACTGAGTGGGAGGGTCAAATACACACAGAGTGCAAGAGGCCAGGATCTAAAGCCGAGAAACCCAGTCCCGGCCCTATCTGCTGTCTGCGCCGTCTAAGCACTGCTCCAAATGTGGCCAGCCAGCGCTGCGAGACCAGGAACTGCGGATCCTTGGGCTCTGACAAGATAAGGAGCCGGGCCCAGAAGGTAAATCGCCCCCTCATCAATCACGTTGTTTAGTTCTGCTGACACTATGTTGTAGCAAGCCCTTCCCTGTAAGGAAGTGGCATGCTGTTTACATTCTGGCTCTAGCCTCTTGTCCAGGACTGTACGAACAACCCACGGGATTGTAACCTGAGTACCTCGGATCTGCACAGCTCTTGCTTGTGTGTGTGAGCGCCCCAATCATCAGATCTTGCTAAATGTGGGTTGGGGGTGGGGGGGCGGTTCCCAGGACGGGGCATTTCTAACAAGCTTCCTGGTGGTGTCTCTGCTGCTGGTCTTCAGACCACACTGAGCAGCAAGGATTGCGCAATTCACTCCAACTTTATACTCGACAAATACTAGTTCTGCTCCCCTAATTAAAAGCAGGCTGTGACTAGAGCTATCGTGCACAGAAAAAGGACGAGGAGGACCTATGTGGGGGAACAAGGGCAGAGCTGAGTCAACTGGGAGAGGGCCTTCTAAAATGAAAAGTGGGATTTAATGTGGCAGACTTTTCTTGCTTGTCTATATTTTCTGATTTTCTATAGTAAACATGTGTGCAATTTAAAAATAGGCCATGGGGAATTCTAAAAGTTGGAAAGAAGTGATACAAGAGGTAGTACTTTTAATTGTGAACCCTTTACTACTTATTTGGATTGGAGCCAGGTTTATTTATTTTAGAAACATACAATGCAAACATTCTGCATATATTAGCTGTCGGGAAGGTCATGATGTAAAAACGTACCATGACTTTCCAAACAACTCAGTATATCAACTTTGAATTTTGATAAAAAAAAGTTTATATGTGTATGTTATATATGTACGGAAACTAGAAGAGGAAATGAAGGAGAATAAACAGACATTAGTGACCCTTACCCAAGCAGACAGATCACGCCAATTACTCTGATTGTCTCTGCACCCCCTATTGTGTGGGTAAGAGGTCCAGAGAAGGGAAGCACCTTGCCCTCAGGTCCCTTACTGGCAAGTGGTAGGGCTGAGATTCAAACCCAGGCCTCCCTTACTGCTGGTACTGTACCTTATTCCTGGAAACCTCTGAGGAGTGAACCTGCCAGGAACTCTCTGAGGGTAAGAACATACTGGGGAGGACAAACAGGCCTAGCTGGGGACGTGTACAGCCTGCAGGAAACAGTGCAACCAATGACTGGAAGGGCCTGGGAGTTGGGAGAGGGATCACTTGTGGGGAAGGGGGCACTTGACTGGGGCCTTGAAGAATGGGGAGAGCTTAGTCCAGCAGATGACGTGGAGGTTAAGGTGTCTGAATCCCACATGGCCAACTACACGTTTTGAATCCCAGACGTTGTGGCTTGAAAAATATGCTGGGTACATGTGTGCCCAAGATCCACAGAGAATGAAGGAGAAGGGATCACAATATGGCCAGCTCTCCTAGGTAGTGGATTTTCACTTCCCCTCTCTCTCTTTCTGTCTCTGTCTCCCTATCTCCAGTGACTAGACATGCCCTGTAGTGTGAGTTGGGGGGAAGGGAGAGAGGATGGGAGGGCTTGATGGGCAGAGGTGAGCTGCGAGTGGTGGGCTGGGCTGAGGACAGGCCCGAGCAGGGCAGGGAGGCAGGGACAGCAGAACACAGAATAACCAGTTCCTGCAGCAGGACCAGCTAAGGAAGAGGAAGCTGGACTAGACTCTGGAGAGGCTGGACGGCCACTGAGAAGCTGAAGTTGATGCCCAAGAAAGTGAGTGGGAGCCACCAAAGGTGCCAGGGCAAAGCCAGACGAGATCAGCAAGCTAAAGCCCAACACCTGTAATAGCCTGATCACATTTGCTAGTCTGACTGTTTCAAATTGTTATTAATAGATGAGATCAGCAGTTAGCGTAATGGCTATGTTGCTGGACTCATGTAGCGACCGCGGTTCAAGTCCTGGACCTGGTGGCTTAAACTCACACCGAGTGTGTGTGCGTGCATGCCCAAGATCCCAAGAGGAGAATGCAGGAGAAGGGATTGCAGCATGGCCATCCCCCCTGGGGGGCGATTTCTCGCTTTCTGTCTCTCTGTCTTTCTGACAAGTGCACATGCCCTATAGCAAAAACCTCTCCCCAAAAAAAGAATTGCTTGAGTTCTTGTTTTATAGCTTGTATTGTAATTAGAGAATTATGGTCATTATTTTTTCTAATCGTTCTCTGTGTCTTCCTTCTCTCTTCTGCAGTAGAGCTCCAATTACACATATATTAGACCACATGATGTTATACAATAATTCACTGAGGGCCTGTTTTCTCTTTTTGTGCGTGCGTGCCCAAGATCCCGAGAGGAGAATGGAGGAGAGGGGATTGCGGCGTGACCATCCCCCCTGGGGGGTGATTTCTCGCTTTCTGTCTCTATGTCTCTCTCTGTCTGTCCCCACCCCCCCCTCACCGGCAAACGTCCCCAAAAAAAAAAAAAAAAAAAACCTCTCTAAAAAATAAAATAAAATAAAATACTAATAGAAACCTTGAGGGATATTTTTTCTTTTTGGCTTGTTTAGTTTTATTCTTCAATGAAATCTTCGGCAGGAGGCCTATATGCGACACACTTACAGCGA